ACAGGTGTATTCCTCTTCAAATCATGTCCAATCAACTGAATTGACCACAGGTGAACTCAATGAAGCTGCTGAAACATCTCAAGAATGATCAGTGGAAACAGAATGTACCTGAGCTCAGTTTAGAGCTTCTCGACAAAGGCTGTCAATACTGATGTACGTGTGGTTTTTCAGTTTTATTTATTTTTAATAAATTTGCAACAATTTCAAAAACTGTGTTGTCACATTGTCAGTATGGGGTATTGTGTGTAGAGTTTTGAGGAAATAAATAAATTTAATTCATCTTGGAATAAGGCTGTAACATAAAAAAAAGTGGAAAAAGTGAAGCGCTATCAATACTTCCCACATGCACTGTACGTAATTGCTCCTTTTGTACTTTACAGCAGAAAACACATCATATGCGTGAGGAACAACATGAGGGTTAAGTAAATGTTTTTAGGTGAACTATACATAGACTAAAAGCTAGCTAATTTTATTCCCCAAAGCTTGCAGTTCTGTCCCGACTTGACACCTTCATCCTAAAATACTTGACCCAGCTAATGAGGTATGTGTCAGGGTTTCAGGAAGGATGAGGGAGCGAGGACACAAATGCAACATAAGATGGTATTTATTAATAAAAATAAAACAAAAACCACCCCGAGGGGGAAAAACATAACTATAAAACAAACACTCAAACAAACTTGGATGGGCTGGCAGGACAAACAGGACTGGATAGCACAGGACAAGGAAATAACGACGACGAACTGGCACAGGACTGAAAACATGAGGGGATTATAAAGCAAAAGTAAATTGACACACAGGTGAACATGACAAACTGATGAGTTAACAAGGAGGGTGGGACTAGACAATAGATAGGAGAGCGCATGACACAGAGAGACAACACAAGCCATGCGCTCACATAAAACAGGACCAGAACATGCAGCCAATGAGAGCACTCATTAACCGCATGTTCATGACAAGACAAACACAACACTAAAGCACACGACAAAAGCACGTGACCACAATGTAAACGCCGAGCCACGTGCTTCAACAAGAGACGCAAGACACGAGCACACGATAGATAAACACCTTCCCGTGCGCTCACACATAAGCAACGCATGCTTCATCTCAGCGCCAACCAAAACTGAAACCAACTAGACGGAGGCGCCGAGAATAAAGCAGCGCGATGCTGACAGAACAATGACTGTAAAAAATATGGACGACGCGACAGCCCTTTTTCCCATTGAACGCCTTGAGGGCAAAACGCCTGCTTGACGGGCACAAACTGTCGCAAAAGACTGCTGAAATTGGAGCCTTGACATGCGCAGAAGGACTGTCTGATGGAGCCAGAGGAGGAGCCGCGAAAATGAGCGGAGTCGAGCTTCCAACCAAACGCTTTATGTAAAATCAACTACGCCCCCCGAACTTCTCAGCATGCGTTTGCTGTCATATCAACACAAATGGATGTAATAACGTTAACAAATATGAGGGTTTTATATATTCAATCGCGCCAGCTCCGGACCGCAGCGCATAACCTACTCGCGGCGTCGCGGGCTGATTCCGGCTCGCATGTGGCAGCGCCGGCTCGCTCGGCCGCCACATCTGGCTCGATTGACTCGGGCTGGAATCGGGTAGTGATGCCAGGCATCCGGAGTAGGTCCAGCAGAGGTAGTCATTCTGAGCTCTAAGGCATAAGTCTCCGGCAGGCGAGAATCTAGCCGGAACTGTGTTTTGCTATCTGGGTGGTTAGGCGTGTATCAGCAAACTAATAAAGCCCGAAAAAAGCCTTGAACTTAGCGAATAAACAGTGTTCCACCAGATCATGTATGTCAAAAACTGTAGTTTACTGCTGAACTCATTTTGTCATGGTAAAATAACACAGAAATCGAATAATAACACTTCAGTCTCCTGCCGAAGCTCAGACGCGCTGCTTTGAGAAACTGTCAATCACAGCTGTCAATCACGATGACACGCCCAGCATTAAATTACTGCTAAAAACAAACTGTTTACAAAAATGAAGATCTGCACCTATTTCAGCACAATAACCAGTGCCTTAATCGACCAGAACCATCTTTCGGGACATTTTATTGTAAGTGTAATAATTTTTTTTATTTGGGCTCAAGTCTCCTTCATTAGGGCGGGCTTTATGACTTGTACTGCAGCCAGCCCCCAGGGGGCGATCTAACGGCCGAGACCTTCACTCAAACGCAGGCTTGCGGCACACTTGTGACAGAACAAACACTAGTACGAGAGCGCGCGCGTCTGAGGGACGCAGAGCGTACACCCTGCGTACACTCACGACGGCGCGCGCACACAGAGACAGAAACAGGACCAGACATGGGTAGTGTCAGAGCTGTGCCACCAAAACAAGAATTTACAAGACCAGAGTGGCAGAACCCTACGGAACCCCGGAAGGGACGTAGTGGGGGAGAAAAAAATGGGTGGTTGAAAAAAAAATAATGGGTGAAAGAAAAAAAATGGGTGGGAGGAAAATATATATTTCTAAGTTTTTTGCGTTCTCTCGCAAAGTTTTGCGTTCCCTCGCAAAGATGTTTTGCGTTATCTCGCAAAGATGTTTTGCGTTCCCTCGCAAAGATGTTTTGCGTTCCCTCGCAAAGATGTTTTGCGTTATCTTGCAAAGATGTTTTGCGTTATCTTGCAAAGATGTTTTGCGTTATCTCGCAAAGATGTTTTGCGTTATCTTGCAAAGATGTTTTGCGTTATCTCGCAAAGATGTTTTGCGTTATCTTGCAAAGATGTTTTGCGTTATCTCGCAAAGATGTTTTGCGTTCTCTCGCAAAACTATTTCTCCACAAACACTTCCTGTTCACTGCACTCACGTAAACCCTCCCATTTTTGCCGAAATTCTCCCGTATTTTACCATTCTATCCCACTTTCTTTACATTACTGTGCATGCTACCTATGAACCAGTGAATGCATGTATAAGCGCTGACTGACAGACGCGCTTCGTGCAATAAACTGATCCCAGATCAGCGTCTGTACACGCCATTTACAGAGGAGCGGGTGTATGTTTAAACAGACAAATACACTGAATAATATGAAACATCTCCATCCTGCATGTTTTATTTTAAACAGCTTATTTTCTCTTAAATGAGCACAAACAGTTTCTAAAGTAATGGACTGCTTTCATTATAGATCTGTGCATTCTTACAGAGACACCTCTGTTATCAAACTAAACAAAACATGAGATTCATTTGCTGCGCACTTGTTTGATAACAGAAGTGTCCCTTTAAATGGCGCGTACAGACGCTGATCTGGGATCAGTTTATTGTATGGAGCGCGTCTGTCAGTCAGCGCTTAAACATGCATTCACTGGTTCAGAGGTTGCAAAGTGAAAGGCGACAATCAGCGCACAGTAAAGAAAGTGGGATAGAATGGTAAAATATGGGAGAATTTCAGCAAAAACGGGAGGGTTAACGTGAGTGAAGTGAACAGGAAGTGTTTGTGGAGAAACATCTTTGCGAGGGAACGCAAAACATCTTTGCGAGGGAACGCAAAACATCTTTGCGAGATAACGCAAAACATCTTTGCGAGGGAACGCAAAACTTTGCGAGAGAACGCAAAAAACTTAGAAATATATATTTTCCTCCCACCCATTTTTTTTCTTTCACCCATTATTTTTTTTTCAACCACCCATTTTTTTCTCCCCCACTACGTCCCTTCCGGGGTTCCGTAGAACCCTGACACTATGAGCACAGACTTATATTTTTCAGTCCAAGTGCTTCCGGTCATCTGTTGAGCATTACAAACTTTTTGATTTCTTATTGAAATCAGGGATCTTCACTGCCTGATTGATATACAGTATAGAGTGGGTCTCAGATCGGACAGGATGCACTCCATTAAATTACTTTTCCCCCATTGTAAGAGGCTAAATTCATATGCAAATGCATTTGTTTACATAACAAAGCATGTCTTTCATCAAAGAAAGTCCATACTGACTCCAAAGGCAGATACTGATAAGATCAGGGCCTGGTGTGTGGACTTTGGGTGTTTTATGATGTGTTCACATGTTGATTGGTCAGTTTGAATGTCTCAGCATTTGGGGTGTAGTCACATGGTCAAGAAAGATACAAAATAGGTGTAAAACTCTGCTCCGTCTCTTTTCCTGGCCCTCTCTTCGCTCTGCTCTGCACCTCTCCTCCTCTGGAGTCTATCTTCTCTGCCTCTTTGAGGCCTCTTTGTCTCCCCCGGATTGCCTCTCCTTCTACCTCTGGTAACTTTAATTTTGTCATTTCATGTTTTATCATTTTAAACAGTTATTTGTAATTAATTCAGTTGTAACTATAGCGAGTTATTGTCATTAAATTATCTCATTTTCAAGTATTTGTGAATTACTTTTGATTTAACATCAACATTTATTTGTTCCTGTTACATGCCTGGGGGTGGTGCTCTGTTGTTCCCTCCTCCCCTTTCTGTTTCTATTTGCTGTCTCCTGTACTTCTAAAATCTAGGTGTTCCAATTGGGTGAGTTCTCCCGAGTGGACCAATCAGAAGAGGATGGGTGTTATTTAAACGCTCCAGTGATGACTCAGCTGAGATGAGAGGGGGATCCATGTTGCTGCTGTGTTTGTTTGTGTAACTTTTGGTGCCTATCTTGTGCTCTGGTTCGCTTTAAAGAGAGTTTGTGATTTAAAAGTACCTAGAGGGAAGTGAAAGGGAAGTATGTCACGTGACTTACATTTTACACACACGTAGCAGATTTTTTTTGTTATTCCATTAGGTTAGAAGCGGGTGCTACCATATGTATGTTTGTTCCCGTCAGTGCAGTTGAGTAAGGGGCGTGTGACGCTGAAGATGTTTTTTATTATTATTTACATATTTCTCTTTAGTTATTTAGAGGTGGGGGAGGGATTCGTTAGCGGGTGTTTAATTTGTTATTTTCTTTGATTTGGCACAGCTTATTCTCCTTCCCTCCATCAGGTATGTTTGTTTACTTTTTGCATTTATTATACATATTTGTAAATGTACTTTGGGTGATTTAAATATTAATTTCTTTATCTTTATTGTAAAAGCTAACCACTTTTTTGCCACGTTGTTGTCTGTGTTGATTCATAGCAGTTAACATCTCAGGGGAATTCTTAAAATATTGGGTAGTCATAATTATGTTAAGCCCTTTTTCATCCTCCGAGCCACACGGGGCGTAACAGTTCCATACTGCAATACAATCACATAAAAGCAACGCTCTCCCACATTAATAGCTATTAATCTTGCCCTTGTTTCCATTTTTGGTGTAAGATTGCAAAAGAATGGTTTGACTAGAAATGTACAGTTTTTTTTACCATCATGCTGATTACTTTTTAGTCATTCGGCAAAACCACAGTTCGAACCGCTGTGGTTTAAACCCGTTCTTACACCGTCATGTCTTTTTTACTCCAGTATTCTCAATGATGTTTTTGTGCTAGCCTGCAGCTACTGATGGCACTTACGTTTACAAGGTCTCAAATCTCGTTTTAAACTTGAACAACTAAATGAATAATGAAGTCTATTTAACTGATTGTATTTTAATTACATTACAACATCGATGCTGTAAAAGAAACCTTATCAAATTCACCAGAAGTCTATTGTTGGCTTAAAAACACTAGCTGTTTGTTAAAGATTGGCTGAAGAAATAAAGTCCTGACCTTGCGCCCCTCCAGGGTGTACAGTCTCTTGACGTGACACTGCATGAGCTCTGAAATCTCCTCCGTAAAGACTCGAAGACTGCGAGCGGTTCGTCGACTCAGAATAATAGATCGGCGAACAGCGGGGTCACTGTTTTTCACGAGAATAATCCTTTTGGGGTGCCGATGATGGTGGTGTTGGTGTCCTGATAGGGGTTCATCAGGTCGGGACGGCTTTCGGCGGGTGTTATTTGGATGGCTATGGTGGTGCCAGACCGCCTGCCTTTTTCCTACTTCTTCCATGTTGATTGGTTTTACATATCGGCGGTCGGAGCAGAGATAACACCCTCCATCCTCGAACTGCTCTAAATGTTTAATGCTGTGGGTTCCTCTGGGCGTTGTGATGGTACGTACACCGAAAGGCAGGGGAACCTTTTGAGAAAGGTCATCCAGTAAGGCATCAAAGCATTTGAAGGTGCGTTTATGGACGGCCATCTTGACGCCTTTGAACTGGGAGTCGCCGCTCTTGTAGAAAGTAATTCTCTTGACTGGACTCGATGCAGTCACGATGGAGCCGAAAGATGATGTTGGAGGATGAGGAAACTGATAGGGTTCATTGTGGAAATGGGGATCAGCGTCGAAAAAGCCTTGAGCCGTCCTCTGCATCTCTCATCCACATCAGATCACACTGCAAAAAAAAAAAAAAGAGTTTGGGACATGAATAGTTATAATAGTTGCAACCGGTATTGACTATTGACACACACTCAACAAAAAAATAAAAAATACGTTGGCTGTTTTTTTAACCTGCACTGTAAAAAAAATTCTGGTTGCCTTAAATCTTTTAGCTGATACAAATTAACCTTTTGAGTCCATTGAACTTATATTATGTTAAACTGACTTAAAACAGCGTGTGTAACCTATAAAATTAAGTTACAACATGATAAACTTAGTTTAATACAATACAATGACCAGAAAACATATGCTGTCAGGACTTTCCGTCATTTAATTTTTTACAGTGTACTTATTCAAATGAGTTGAAACAACAGAATTCTGCGGCAACTCAATTGTTTTATGTTCGATCCACTGAAATTGTCAAAACAAATAAGTTAACTAACTTCCTTCATGATTTCTCAACACAAATGAACTGTGTGTGTTACACCTGGCTCAGGGATGTAACATAATGAGGGAGACGACAAGGTGAAGTATAATCAAGAAGATTTATTTATTTAAAATATTCAGAGATGATTCCTTGGATTTACTAATTTTTTTACGTTCAGTGGTTGTAAACAATTTATTTGTGTTGAATTTAAACAAACAAATTAAGTTGAACATTATTAAACTTCATTTGTTTAAATTCAACACAAATAAATTGCAACAGTTTTGCATGCAACACTTTTTTCAGTGTATTTTGTATTGCTGAACTTTGCCTTTAGAGACTTTTATCATTTCTAAATCTCTGATTTAGTGATTTATTTATTTTTTTCAAGGATCTCACTTCGTCCTATTCATTAGCATTTAAGTATGGATAGCATAGGATTTAGCTTTGGGAGAATTAAGTAAGAAATATTGATCTTATATTGTGGAATATTTTGATTATAATCTGTGGTTTTTCATTATTTGAATCTGTATTTAATCACATTTCTCTCTTAATTCATATTTTGTGACTGTAATTGAAAAAATACTGAAAGTCTTTGTTAATTTTAAAGTGAGATTTTAAAGCCAGATGCTAATGGTCTAATTCAATTCAATGATTCATGCTTCAGACCTGTAGATTGGCTGAATGGATTTTAAAAATGGTTAAATTTGAGGATTTTTAATATGAGCCTATTTGTAAAATTAGCCTATTCAAGCAGTTACAGAGATATACAATTGAAGTCAGAATAATTAGCCCCCCTGAATTATTAGACCGCTTGTTTATTTTTTCCCCCAATTTCTGTTTAACGGAGAGATTTTTTCAACACATTTCTAAACATAATAGTTTTAATAACTCATCTCTAATAACTGATTTATTTTATCTTTGTCATGATGACAGCAAATATTATTTGACTAGATATTTTTCAAGACACTTCTATACAGCTTAAAGTGACATTTAAAAGCTTAACTAGGTTAATTAGGTTAACTAGGCAGGTTAGGGTAATTAGACACGTTATTACCCTAATATATATAATACAATACAAGTATTATATTATAATACAAGTAAATAATTTTGCCCTTAAAATGGTGTTTAAAAAAGTTAAAAACTGCTTTTATTCTAGCCAAAATAAAACAAATAAGACTTTCTCCAGAAGAAAAAATATTATCAGACATACTGTGAAAATGTCCTTGCTCTGTTAAACATCATTTGGGAAATGTTTTTTAAAATAATAATCAAAGGGGGGCTAATAATTCTGACTTCAACTGTATAAACCAATATTAATTGTATTTAATTATTTATACAATGAAGACTCCACACTGTAAAACCCAAAAAGTTAAGATAACTCAAACCATTTGACAAAACCGATTGCAACAAACCATTTAAGCTCAAAAAGTAATCCTAATGAGTGCTGTGAACTTAATCCATTTGAGTAAATGAAGCAATTTGAGCACAGTAAAGCCTGATAAACGAAGAGAACTCAAACCAGCTGAGTACAACAGTATAACAGAAAGGAGTTACAGTAGTTTTTGCCTTGATTTGCTCACAGATGTCTTCTGCATTGTCCTCTGTTTACATTTAAAAAATCTGATTCATTTACAGCATTTAATTGAAACATGCTTTTTTGTAGCTCAGCAATAAAACAAACAAGGTTACGTCGAATTAGAAAAGACGATCTCTTTTGAAGGCATTCGCCTCTCCATCATTCTCACTCTTTTTCATATGGGAGGTGGGCCAAATCAAAGGTTACACCGGGCCAGCTTTGGCCCACGGGCCCTACATTGGACATCTTTTCTCCACACTATTAGTGTTGGTTTATATATTATTATTGAGTTTTTGTGCCTCAATGCTGTTAGATTCCAAAGAAAACCCTTGTTAATTTGTATCAGTTCCATTGTGTTGTATTTTATGCAGATACTCCTCTACAAAGTAACACCAATCAATATAAAATCACTAATTAATTTAATCTAGAGATATAAATCATCTTGCGAAATGATATTCAGATCGCAATATATATATATATATATATACATTAATATATATATATAGTCTGTTTAGTAAAAAGACCTTGGTGACATGGTGACTGCACTGTCGCCTCACAGCAACAAGGTCGCTGGTTCAAGTCCCGGCTGGGTCAGTTGGCATTTCTATGTGGAATTTGCATGTATTTCCCATGTTGGTGTTTCCCCCACAGTCCAAAGACATGCACTACAGGTGAACTGAAAATTCTAAATTGGCCAAAGTGTATAAGTGTGTGTGGGAATGAAAGTGTATGTATGTTTCCCAGTACTGGGTTGCATCCGTTAAGTAAAACATATGCTGGATAGGTTGGCGGTTCATTCCACTGTGGTGACCCCTGATGAATAACAGAGGGCCAAAAGAGAATGAATGAATGAAAAAATGAGATTAAAAATGGGAAAAAGTGGTGTTCCTTTAAACTCTCCTGAAATGTTCACACAGTCACAGGCCTTAAAAACTTTCACTCCATTATGGAAGTGTGGCTCTTGGCAGGCCCAGATTGGCTAATCAGGAGGACGCTGAGAATTCCCGGTGGGCTGGTCTGTTTATTGGCCACTAGGGCCGATGTCCCTTGCTGCTTGCAGCAATCGCACTTTATTTGTCTATTTATTTATTTGACCATAGCCTCACTCTTTTATTCATTATTTTGCCGCAGCCCCACTCTTTTTATTTTCTCGCAGCCCCATGAGCAAAATGCAGCCTGCAGCTCATTCTACCCCAAACAGCGGCACCTTGGTGAAAATAAGAATTTGAATAACATATATTAATGCAGTTGTTCTCAAACTTTGGTACGTGTACAACTAGTGGTACGTGGGCTTCCCTCTTATATGCGGAGGAATGAAATATGTCATGTACATGCTACATATATTTCAAAATTTATCAAAAATGTGTATATAATATGCCATATATGACATAGTCTATATTTCTGAGGTAATCTGCCACGGTTTTTTAACTGTGCAGAGTTGTAGCTGCTTTATTGGGCCTACTACGCTACTGTATTTCAATACTGCTCATTTTGGTGGTACTTGGAGAGACAATTTTTTTCTAAGGTGGTAGTTGATGAAAAAAGTTTGAGAACCACTGTATTAATGAATATTACACCTGCTCAATAAAAATTAGATGATTCACTACATTAATAAATCTGTTATTTCAGGTGCACCATATAACAGCGCCATTGTGGTCAGCAGTTCGAACCTCACCTGAATAATTTTTCGTTTTTGTGTGTGTTAAGACATACAACACTGTTTGGGTTACTTATGTAGGTGTAAATATTTTATTTTTAGTTTTTGTGCGATCACCGTTACAAAGGACTGGATATCCATAAAGAATTTAGCACAGAATATATATTCAGATATAGGAAAGGACATTTTGATGTTTTTAAAGAATAGTGTTGGAGATTTAGCCACCTTTTAATGTTCTCACATTTATGAAAAACATTTGAAGTTGGATGTTTCCTTGAGGAAGACGTGATCATGTCATTAGAAACTGAATTGGAAATTACGCTATTTTAATATATGTGTCGTGAACTGAGGTGAGCCGGTCTAAGGCTGGAAACTCCAGGGCTGAAAAGGAGTCCCACTCCGGCCCTGGCTCCTGGTCAACACGGAGTCTTCATTGTATAAATAATTAATTACAATTAATATTGGTTTATACAGTTAAAGTCAAAATTATTACCCCCCCCCTTTGATTATTTTTTTTTTTTATATTTCCCAAATGATGTTTAACAGAGCAAGGAAATTTTCACAGTATGTCTGATAATATTTTTTCTTCTGGAGAAAGTCTTATTTGTTATATTTTGGCTAGAACAAAAGCACTTTTTAATTTTTTAAACACCATTTTAAGGGCAAAATTATTAGCCTCTTTAAGCTATTTTTTTCAATAACGTTATTCAATAACGTGTCTAATTACCCTAACCTGCCTAGTTCACCTAATTAACCTAGTTAAGCTTTTAAATGTCACTTTAAGCTGTATAGAAGTGTCTTGAAAAATATCTAGTCAAATAATATTTGCTGTCATCATGACAAAGATAAAATAAATCAGTTATTAGAGATGAGTTATTAAAACTATTATGTTTAGAAATGTATTGAAAAAATCTGCTCTCCATTAAACAGAAATTGGGGGAAAAATAAACAGGGGGGCTAATAATTCTGACCTAAATTATATATCTCTATAATTACTTGAATAGGCTAATTTTACAAATCGGCTCATATTAAAAATCCTCAAATTTAACCATTTTTAAAAATCCATTCAGCCAATCTACAGGTCTGAAGCATAAATCATTGAATTGGATTAGACCATTAGCATCTGGCTTTAAAATCTCACTTTAAAATTAACAAAGACTTTCAGTATTTTTCCAATTACAGTCACAAAATATGAATTAAGAGAGAAATGTGATTAAAAACAGATTTAATTAATGAAAAACCACAGATTATAATCAAAATATTCCACAATATAAGCTCAATCTTTCTTACTTAATTCTCCCAAAGCTAAATCCTATGCTATCCATACTTAAATGCTGATGAATAGGACAAAGTGAG